GAAGAGGGAAAGGCTTTTTTTCTCCTAATTTGTGCGTTTGAACTGGTACATTGATGCATTTTATATTTATTCATTCATTTTGTTTTTGTCTTGTATGGATATGTTGTTTTGCTGTGTGAGAATTAGTTGTGATTTAGTTGAGCACAGTTTCAGGACGGGCTTTTAATTTGTGTTTTTTTTGTATTAAAATTTAAAAAAGGGAAAAAGAAAGGGGGTGGGTAACTGAATAAACTTTGCTGCCAAAGCTTTTGGTACTAGTGATCTAAGGTGGCTGCAGGTGGGCTACAAAATTCAATGCAATCTTTTCCGACAGTAACAAATAACATGCTGGTTACTTTACCACACTCCTGGCTCATCAAAAATCAAGCAATTTGAAAACAAACGCTTAAAGAGATATAAACCTATCAGAAACACTGACGCAGTGGAGAGGCCCCTAAACCAATTAGCAAAACTCCGCTGGCAGAGATGTGGGCTAGATACATAAATACAGAAACCACCACCATCTTCCTTGTTTTCAGGCAGCATTCAGAAGCCATAATTGTAAGAATAGTCTAAAATTACCAAAACAATGAACCATAAACAAGCGGTATAGATGATGAATGAATGAACCATAAACAATCACTCAGAAAGCACAAACAAGCTGAGGACGTTTGATGGATGTTTTTATCTTGGTGAAGTTATGCAACTGAGGAGCTGTGACATGCAATGCAATTCAAACTGAAACCAAAGTAGAACAAACTTTTCACCGGCCACCACTGTAGTAAAAATACACAGGGAGGTCAAACTAAGGACACTTTCACAACTTTAAAGCCACAGTGTTGCTTCAACAGTTGCTTTAACAGTGCTTTCACAGCATTTTGCTGCTAAGGAGTCGCATGTGAGAAGGACACTGAAAATCTAACTTTTCAAGGTGTGGTGACATGTTTGCTGACATTCCCTTTTGGCATGTTGTGCAATCAAAAGCATTACACAGTCTCTATAGACTGGCAAAGTCTGTCCAAACACAGACAAAGCGCTTTGTTCCATACTGTGTGTTTTCTTCAGCACAGTCGCTGGGATCAAAATCTGTAAAAAAGCATGAAAGGACTACCTTAGAACTCCTTAAAAGGTCTGAAGTGTTACTGACCAGCTCACATTTCTATATGTTGCTTGGTTGAAGGTTGGGTGGAATATTTGAACACTTTGAAATGAGGGACACCTGTGTGCACGGCAGTCAGGCATCAGAAAAAAACTCAGGAAAGTCAGTTATCCAGCAACATCTATCATCTAGAGTTTGCTAACATTAGGTGGCAATACCTCCGATAAGCTACCCGACCAAGTGAGGCTGTAGCAGCAAAACCCCTGAGTGCACTTTACTCAGCAAGGGTGTGTTTTTATGTCTTATGGCCAGAGGTACTGTTTAAATAAAGTACTGGATGTATGTAATGTACAGTGCCTTGCGAAAGTATTCGGCCCCCTTGAACTTTGCGACCTTTTGCCACATTTCAGGCTTCAAACATAAAGATATAAAACTAATTTTTTGTGAAGAATCAACAACAAGTGGGACACAATCATGAAGTGGAACGAAATTTATTGGATATTTCAAACTTTTTTAACAAATAAAAAACTGAAAAATTGGGCGTGCAAAATTATTCAGCCCCCTTAAGTTAATACTTTGTAGCGCCACCTTTTGCTGCGATTACAGCTGTAAGTCGCTTGGGGTATGTCTCTAACAGTTTTGCACATCAAGAGACTGAAATTTTTGCCCATTCCGCCTTGCAAAACAGCTCGAGCTCAGTGAGATTGGATGGAGAGCGTTTGTGAACAGCAGTGGGGCTGAATAATTTTGCACGCCCAATTTTTCAGTTTTTTATTTGTTAAAAAAGTTTGAAATATCCAATAAATTTCGTTCCACTTCATGATTGTGTCCCACTTGTTGTTGATTCTTCACAAAAAATTACAGTTTTATATCTTTATGTTTGAAGCCTGAAATGTGGCAAAGGTCGCAAAGTTCAAGGGGGCCGAATACTTTCGCAAGGCACTGTATGTGCATGTCTGTTGGTCAGGCTCATTATTGTGAATGCACTATCTCAGGAACACCTTGATGGAATTTCTTCACATTTGGCATAAGTGTACATTTAGACTCAGGGTTGAACCGATTAGATTTTGGTGATCAAAGGTCAAGGTCACAGTGACCTCACATCTGTCCCATTCCTGTGAATTGGACAGGTCGGCGGAGGCATTCCAAGTGTTTTATGAATTCAACCTTTAATTTCAAAGGACAGATTGTGTTATTTCTTCTTCATGAAATTACACAGTGTAGATTTAAAATGTTTTCAAACCCTGGGTAAATTAATTAATAATGATATTAGTACACTGTTAGTAATGATCTTAGCTAAACCTGTGAAGGCTGACATAGCAAAAATTATCTCCCAACCATTTATAACTGTCAATGTTTGGATGTTTCTATTTCCTATAGAATATAGGTATCAATGAAGTACATGCAGCGGATTCCCATGAAAGGTGTTGCAACACACCAACTTTTAGATAAACTGGATACAGCTCCACAGCCAAAAAATGGTACAAGCCAGATGACATAAAACGGGAACCTCTAACAGTGCTGATCATGAAAATACTTCCACGCAATATCATTCGAACTCTGTCAACTATACAACAAATGTCTCTGTCAACCTCATCCTGTCTAGTATGTGGTTTATAAACCACAAAGACTGTCACTGTTACCATGGTTACATGACTCTTACAGTAACTGTCTGCAGCAGCTGCTGTGGAGCTTGTTATCTCAGTTTGAAATGATTCATTCTTCAGACCGGAGGCAGCAAACTGTCAGTTATATTGGTTGATTCCAGACCTTAGCAACCACTTTATTAGGTACACATGTACAGTTATATGCACTTCAATGCAACACTTTTGTGTTAACATCTGTGTTTGAAGCTCGAAATGTTTCGGTTTTTGGTCAAATTGTCAAATTTATAAATTATATTCTGTGTTTATTATTGAGGTCATAAAGAAAGCTGGTTTTGTACCGGACTACGTTATATTTAAAGGTGTCTATTTTTGTTTTCCCCAGCCACTTAGATGAGAGGGTCAGAATATTAGGAACACCTCTGAATACAACATAGTCAACTACACCACCTTTAGCTACAACCTCAATAATAAACAATTGAATTTATACATTTGGCAGTTTCTCCAAAAACAAACAGGAGCTTCATAAACACACGTCAAGGCGGAAGTGATGCATTGAACTGCATACAGTTGTACAGGAACCATGTTTTATACACTCACCAGCCAGTTTATTAGGTATTCCTGTACAACTGTATGCAGTTCAATGCATCACTTCCACCTTTACGTGTTTATGAAGCTCCTGTTTGTTTTTGGAGAAACTGCCAAATGTATAAATTCAATTGTTTATTATTGAGGTTGTAGCTAAAGGTGGTGTAGTTGACTATGTTGTATTCAGAGGTGTTCCTAATATTCTGACCCTCTCATCTAAGTGGCTGGGGAAAACAAAAATAGACACCTTTAAATATAACGTAGTCCGGTACAAAACCAGCTTTCTTTATGACCTCAATAATAAACACAGAATATAATTTATAAATTTGACAATTTGACCAAAAACCGAAACATTTCGAGCTTCAAACACAGATGTTAACACAAAAGTGTTGCATTGAAGTGCATATAACTGTACATGTGTACCTAATAAAGTGGTTGCTAAGCATATAAATATAGCTGGGAGTCCATTTCAAGGGTTTCACTGACCAGACTGAAAAAATGTCGAGTTGAATAAATGTGACAGTCAGTGCCAGAGATGGTCATTTTTAGGTTAAATAGCGAACATGCCTTCTGACTAACAACCTGTGGTGGAAAAAGTACTCAGGGCTATAGTGCAAACAATGTTCAAGTAAAATCTGAAGTTCACAACTGCTTTAGGGAAGGAAATCTCTGCAAGGTCTACATCAAATTCATAGGCAATTTAAGTAGCATATGTATTACATAGCATTATTGTTCTTATTCTGAGCAGTGATTGAAACAAAGTCACAAATTCTGTTAATGATCAAGACAAACGCAGTTATGATTTCTTGAGCTATGCTTCTCCACACACACAGCACCAGGAAATGACACAAACACATGGTATTAAAAAAAAAAAAAAACACCTTTATTTACAAAAACAGACCACTGCCCCATCCCACAAACCCCCGACTTCAGTGACTACTGAGACATGCTATGTCTGTGCCTGTGGTTGGGAATTTACAGGACTGAGAAGAACACCACCCAGTGCAAACCTTCAGTATTCTTCCACCCACTTATTTAGTCTGAGTTCACCCGTCATCTAAATTCCACAGTATGGCAACACTTCTTGGACCAATACCTGAGGCTGGCTCCTGTATGTTGCCCAGTTGTGAGTAAGCAATATGCTTTAGCGAGCCTGGGGCCAACATGTTGTCAACTAGACCTCTGTATGGAGAGGGATAATTTAATAGTACCATCTGGGACTATGGTAAATGCATTCATTATGAGCCAATTCTAATCAATGCACATTAAAATAATCGCACCACACAAACAGGTTTGTTTTGCTGAGATCAAATGCAGAGGACACACAAAATGAAAAATGCCTTCTTGGTAAATAACCTGGCACAGACACTAAAATATTCTCAGCTTTTAGACTTTTTGTGTGTCTTCTGTGCAGGCAACATGAATTCTGTCTCTACACACTGCATCCATTATGGAATGGAATAACCAGACCTTTCTACTCGGCCTGAACTAAATAGCCTTTAAATTAAATCGGTTTGCTCAGAGATGATGACAAATGGTTTGGGTTCAGCGTAGGTGAACCATATGGGTGCAGATGACAGTGCAAATTTGTTCACGGAATCTGTTGTGTCAATTCTGTTCACACATCTGCGGTAAGAATAACGCTCTTCAAAGCTCTGTGTGTGAATGTTCACATGCCGGTAAGAATAACGCTCTTCAAAGCTCTATGTGTGAATGTTGTTCACACATGTGAACAGAGGCAATTCTGGGCAGTGCAATGTTTCCAAGTAATGCTGTCACTGTATGTGTGGTTTCTGCTGACAACAGCACAGGGGAGGTGTGAAAAAAAGAAGATTCTCACGAAGAGTCAGTGTGTACAAGTGTAGGAGAACGAGGGCACTACTGATCGCACAACTGTGTGGCTGCTAGTTTTGAAGCCAGGTACTTGCGTTGGTGGAGAAGAGGTTCATGTGAGTTGCATCATAATTGAGCAATGTATGGGAATGGCTAGCATGTGACATGTTGATTGTTTCCATGCAAGCCGTACGTCTGCATCCAACCAGCGATAGAGCAATCCACATGTCCATCATTCTGTGTCCTTACATGGCATATACTGGAGCACAGCAGGGTTTGTGTGAGGATCCTGATGAGTTTTTCTCTTTGTCCACTGCCGCTATATGAACATGTATAATTAGAAGGCATAGCGAGTGCGAATGTCCTCTAGTTTCTTCGAGACCTCAGGCGGTGTTCTGTCCAGTTCCTCCGCCACACTCTTCTGCTTGTGAGGGTCCATACTGTTAAACTGCTCACACAGATCTCCGTCGATCACATTCTGGGAAAGAGAACAGAGAAAAAACCGCCTCAGACCACATTTGTTTACAAGTGTGCATTATGATCAGATGTATATTATCAAAGGATATAGCAGTTTACAGAGGTGCACAACCGATCAAATGGCAAGAAAGCAGTAGCCTGCAGACACCAACCTTCACTGGGAAGTAGTAGGATCTAAAGCTGAGATGGTCTCGGCCACACAATGGAGGGAACTCAGAACGCATATGCATCTCTAAATGCTGGAAGAAGTCATGATCCTAGGGATAAAAAACGGGTGATAGAAAGAAAGGAATGGGGAGACATTAAAAGTATAACGGGAGGAAAAAAGAAAAAAGGTCACCAACACATTGTGTTGGATCGACTGGGAGTCAGTGCCGATGCCTCTTAAGAGGCTAAAGAGCTGTGTGACGATGGTTTTTACCTCGTGTGAAGTGAAAGGGACCAATATACCAATGCCTCCAGACAGAGTGGTATAGACCAGGGATTCTGATCCTCCAGGGATCAGGGTGGTTTTCTGGAGAGACAACACAGTCTCTCCTACATGGTAGTTCACTATCACCTCAGCCTGGAGACAGACATGGAGACAGGATTAATTTCTAAAACATGTTTTCACCTTGTCATTATGGGTTATAGAGTGTAGACGAACATTTCAAATTAAATCTACAACCCAATAATGTGTGCAAAAAGTGAAGGGATCTGAACACTTCCTGAAGAAAAAAAATCTAAACACAATAGAAAGTCACTTTTGGCTTTTCCCGTTTAGGGGTTGCCACAGTGAATCGTCACACTGACGACTCACTGTGTCGACATTTGGCACGTTTTATGCCGGATGTCCTTCCTGACGCAACCCTGAATCAAGCCCGGGCCACAGTGGCAAGAGCGCTGAGCCTTAACTGCTAGCCTACCAGGGACGTCTCAAAGAATCTAAACACAATATAAGCTGATAGTTTATAATCAAAAATATACACAGCAACTCTGATAAATTTTATGGTAGCAGTGACATTTCAGTCTCTCATCAGTGACTGTGACTGAATTCAGCAGGTAGGTTCTACCTGTCAACAGTCAAATGGAAAATTACAAGTTAGTTTAGATCATGTAACGAGACATCAGATATGCAACCTCAAGCCATTTCAGATTCCAAGATCATCCATCCCGACAGCTGCACATACATATAAAGTACATGAACAAAGGTCTCCTATAGGTGTTCAGCTGAGTTGAGAGCTCGTGTCTGTTAAGGCCACAGCATATGATTCACATCATTTTCATACTTAAACTACTCGTTGACCCTCTGTGCCCTATGACGGGGGCACTGTCATCTGGAAGAGACCACTCAGTCCCTTCCCAAAGCTTACATTAGCCAATGCTGACTTGCTCATATCCTGAGCACTGAAAAAGACTTGAATGGTTTAACTGTTGCTGGCCAGATGTGACATTTCACTTTACTGAAATCTCTCACAGCTGCATGTGAGAATTCTGCCTCTGGTGTTCTCAACATGGAGAACAGCTGCAGTTTGTGACCAGGATGAGACAGAACAAGATGTCGTCTCAAATAGGGGAAAATGCCACTGAGCAGCTTCATTCAGGCACCACAACACTGCAGTGTTGGTGTCCATTATATAGTTACTTCTGGAGTGATCCCATCTCAACAGCAGTATAGTCCACTTGAGTCATAGTAAAACACAGGCGACAGAAAAGAAGTCAAAAATGAACACACTTTTACCATGCATCAAAAAAGCTCTTAACCAAATGATACATCATAAATTTAAACATCACAATTATCCCACATATGTACAATTTAGTGCAGTTTGCATCACTTTTTGACCTCAAATGTCATTTATTTTGCTTTTTAGAATTCTACATGCAATAAGCAAGTGTCAATTCTGTCATGCCAAGAAAACATGGTTAAACTAATTCAAAATGAGACGGACCCAGCATGACAAATCACCCTCACACCCTTATACATTTAAGGTTTGGAAGTCGGTCCTTTCACACACAGCTGCATCTCCCTGACCTTGATCTTTCCACATATATTAATCAAATAAAAGTGAAATAAATCTAATTTAATGCAAGACAGCATTTAGCCAAGTCATGTATACATAATGAAGTTCATCTAGCCAGATGCAAGGAAACACTCTGGGCATTCTGGATGAGGACAAATCCAGGCATCCATACCCACGTCTAAAAACAGACCGTGCATTTCCAAACTCAAACAAAATTCTCAATCAGTGTTCACGGAGGGTGAAATGTGAAAAACACCGTCTCAAAGTCAACTGGGACCAACTCTGTCTAAACTGGAGGGACTTTCCCAGTCTATCTGCTTCAGTTTTTGACCAGGATTTAAATATGGCCTGTGCGATGTTTTGTGTTTGTGTGTGCATATTGTGTTGCATTTGTCAGTAGGTTAAACTTGTGGTTGACTGTGTTATGCAGGCTGTATATGAGTCTCTTGTGTGTATTGGCGTGAAGGCCACAGATTAGTGTATTCGTGCAGGCCTGAAAGTCCGGCCATAGCAGTGGTCAGCTCAAATCACTCAAACCTGTAAGGCTGCAACAGAGAACGCAATGACACATCTCAGGCCTGAAGTGACTACTTTAACATAAAAACTCACTTTTGCACATTATGCATTCCTGTTGCTCTGTCTTGCACATAAAAGCTGTTCAGCTGTGCAATAAAGACATTGATGGCTTAGTCTGAGTGATGTGTACTTAGCTTTATTTATTTTATTGTCATAGTAACACATACAATGAAATTTTGTTTGGAGCCGAGGGCCCCAAGTCACTGTGTGCATAAGCGCCACCATCATAACTTATTCAGTATGGCTTACAAATCAATGGACCTGTGTAGGTTTAAAATCTGAAGCAATAAATATGTTTATAGTGTTGTTTTGTATAGGTTCTAATCATTCCATCAGGATGGAGTCAAATTCAGGTGAGAAAGAGCAGACCACACACAAACACACACACTCCTACTGGCAATCAACCTAAGCTGCATCATGTCTTTGGACTGTGGGAGGAATCCAGAGAATCCACACAGGTGCAGGGAGGACATGCAAACTCCACAAAGAATGGCTGTGAGGCAACAGTGCTAACCACTGCACAGGCATGGCCGGTGAAATAGAAATATGGTATTACATACAGACTAGAGATGACACACTCCCACAAAACAAGAAGAAAAGGAACAAACAAAAACTTTAAAGTTTAAACAAATGTGACAGTGACATATTTCAGGAGCCCATACAAGAGACGTGGCTGGGGGAGTGACATTTTTACCTTCTGTGATGCTCCATTTAGAAGGCCTCTGTCCCATAAGGCTTTGTTCCCAGTGGGGTCCTCATCCACATCATCACTTGTGTTGGGGGGCAGACGCACCTGAGAAAGTGAAATATGAAGATATGCATTTTCTACTTTTCAATGAAGCCATACGGTTCCAGATGTCTAGTGTCGTTTTGTGACACTAGACACCTTGACTAGGCACCCTGTTGATATTTTTGAGTCCAGTGCCATAAAGAGGCAATTATGGCTTATCAGCGTCATATACTGTATATTTCATAGAGCATTCTAGGGCAATACCTGAGTAAGGATTGTGTCAGCCAACTGTCAATTGGCTCTTTACTGTGATTCATTGCATATACACACATACCTTAACACACGTATGCACATACATACATACACACACACACACACACACACACACACGGACACACATGTAATGTATATATATGCTGGGCAAGTTAACGCGCTATTTTCGTGTTAACGTAATACTTCATTAACGCAGACAATTATTTTATCGCGCATTAACGCAGTTTATTTTTATTATTATTTTGAAAGTCCGTTGCTCACTGGCTCTGAATACACATACAGACAAACCATGGGTAACAGAAGGGGTGGGATGTTGATCAGTACTGGCTGGAGATGGGCGTCATTGCGCGTCTCAACCAATAAGAGCATTTGGAGTGGGTGTAAGACCGCTGCAGCGCTCACGTCAACGGGAACTGAATAGAACTGGCGGGGACAGAAAAATGGAGGAAGGTAAAGAGGAATGTAAAGGACTCTTACGTGGACATTTTCAATTTAAATCTCTTCCGCACGGCGGAGTTGATGAAACCAAAGTCATTTGTAACCACTGTAAAGCTGAATTTTCTCATCACCGGAGTACTTCGAGTCTGAAGTATCACTTAAATGCAATACACACCGTTGATGCCAGCAAATCACCCACCCAAACAAACAGTGAGGGAGGCTTCAGCTGACTACGTTGGATGTAGCGTGTGGGAGAAGTATAGATAAACAAAAGCAAGACAAGCTAACAAATGCCATAGCTGAGTGGATAGCTACAAACCGCAGGCTGATGAGTATTGTGGAAGATCTGAGGAGCGTGCTTAGGATGGCAACAAATGATGGCACGTATGAGCCTTGATTGATATGAGCTTGATTACATTGGTTGAGATTTGCTGCTACTGTGTAAAAAGCACCTTATTTGTTTAAAGTGTTTGCAAACCAAATGTTATTGCACTTTTGTTCATATAGTAGTACTTTTAAAATACAAGTGCA